CAACGAGCTCAAACCCATCGCCAAGAAAGGACATTCCACCAATATCTTCGGTAAGTAAGGAGCGCACATGCATGTTGTAGTCTCATTTACATGCAAATGACTGCTCTTGCGGGATGATTCGGTTCAGGGTGGTAAGGACAGACACACACAATACCATCTACATCCATTTTTGTGTGCTATCTACAACTTGCACCCTCGAACGATGAGACATGCAAGCGCAGTTCACTGTCCCTAATCATTATTCTGTTTGTGTGTATTTGTATATCGCTGGCTCTCAGCTGCAGAGGTAAAGAAGATTCGACTACTGAGACTGAATTTGATCTGTGTGTGTACATGTGAGCGTGCCTGAACAAAGAAATCACAATTGATCCTGTTTCCGTCTTGCTTTGCTGCTGTATGTGCAGGGAAAAAGAATAGTAATAAAATAAATAGTTTTGACTCTGAATCCTAATAGGATGAGCTGCATTGAAAGCCGTTGTGAAATGCAGATAAACACACCTGTGACTGCACATTCTTAAAGGAGTAGTTCACCCAAAAATAAAAATTTGATGAAAATGTACTCAGCCTCCGAGATACAGACGAGTTTGTTGCTTCGTTGGAATAGATTTGGAAAAATGTAGCATTATATCACTTGTGCACCAATGGATTCCCTGCAGTGAATGGGTGCCGTCAGAATAAGAGTCCAAACAACTGATAAAAAACATCACAGTAATTCACACGACTCCAGTCCGTCAATAAATGTCTTGTCAAGCGAAAAGCTGCTTGTTTGTAATAAATTCACGATTAGGACGTTTTTAACTTCACAAGTCCTCTATCCATAATATTGCTTTCCCCAGTGAAAAAGTGGTCTCATCTGCATCAAGAGAGAAATATGCACAGATCAAGTACTGTTTATAAGTAAAAACGGCCCAAAACTGTTCAATAAATGCCCACTTTTTAAATGAGCCAATCAATTCTTGCACCACAAGTCCCATCCTTCATTGTTTCCATCTGAATATTCTCAAACTCTTTTCACTCAAATCTTATCACATTACTGAACTTAAATGTGTTGTGAATGCCGTTTCATTTTGTCTTTAAATATTTAGCTTTGCAAATTGACCAAGCAGTTTTCCTCATAAATTTGCCAAAATGTAGGTTGAGGTTTTATTTGTTCTTTCTTTGAGATAGCAGTAAGACACACATAATGCAGTTCTGTGGTTTAAACAAAATAAGAGGGAGCTTTTGAAGAAGAACAAAGATGCGAGAAGGAGAGAGAGTGTGGAAGAACAAGGAAGATGTGAGAGACTCAGCACAGAGACTCATGCTGCAGTGCTGTGTGTCGAAGTGTCTTTCACACTTCACTTTCTCTGTTTATATCTAACACGTGGAATGAACTCCTCAGCCATACATGTATCGATCACTCTGTTTGAATGTACTTTGGTGTGTTTTGGATAGAGGCTGGTGGAACCCACTGCTGGATGACTTTGCTCTTCTCTTCCAGAGGTTTCCCTCTCAGACACCCTGAACACGGTGTGCTTTGCTCCACCTGAAGTTCTGTCTTCAAGTGAAGAGAAACACCACTTCTCTATTCAAAAACACTGTTTATGTGAGCTGTGTGACACTCACGCCATTGGTTGAGCCAGTGTTGCTGTGTCTGGCTGGTTGGGATGCTAAAGCAAACACAGTACTTATTCAACTATGATAGGAGGAAGTATTTTAACATCCAAAAAT